TAAAGTTGTACCAAAACTATTGAATAATCCTTCTCCATCCACAGTCGAAATGGCCATATCTTGACCAATAAGAGGTTTAGTCAATGCATTTTTATTTCAATAATCGACTTCGATCACTTTAACATAGAATGGAAATGTTTTTTTTTCGAATTATTACGAGAAAGAATGCTTACATTGAAGGTAGAATCAGCAAGACGAGCTGACAGAATATTTTTATCAGCAGTATAATGTTTTTTGTAAGTATTTATAGTCATTTTTATCATTAGTCAATCATATACAACCTCTTAGTTACTAATATTTTTATATTTTATTTTAAGTCGTAACGATGACAACACACCTCTTTGTCCTTTCTACGAGGTAGAAGTGTACATGCGCTCGAGATATTCTGTAGTGTAACGTATGCATCATCACTACGAACATATCAACGAAAAATACCATTTTATCTAGAATAAAGACAAGTGAACTGTTCCTAGGTAGCCATCAAAAAGTTACTATTAGTATATTCAGATAACTCTCAAAAAAATACATCGATTGAATTGTAAAAGTTCCAGTATGATATGCAACAACAATTTCTGATTATCCATCATGATTCAAATCATCATCAATGACAACAAAAGGAACAGACTCATGCATTGCGTGCTAGTGAAAGAGTTTATTATCGATCTTAGAAGATATGATAAAGGGAGAGTCAGATAAAGAGATATACTTGAAGAAAAAATCCTCAGAAACAAACGAAAAAACAAATGCACACAATAAAAAAAATTAATGTGACAGGACATAGAACAGAAATTTAAAGAAGAAAGGCAGCATTCAATGAGAGTCCGTAGTTGTGGCTGTGGGTGTGGGGGGAGGTATGTGAGTATGGGTTGAAGACGAGAACAACATCCACACCCACACCTTAACAAACACATCCGAAAAGATTATCAATTGAAATCACTATCCTCTGCTTCTTCATTCTCAATTTCATAGTCCTTCAAGACCTACTGTTCTTCATTGCGAGTCGGGTCGTATACCTAACCGACCATTCGAAGAAACTCAACAGTAGGATCCAAACCCAACGTACGACAACGCTTCATGAACATGTATTTGACCAAATGAGATGGGAAGGGGTCCTTTTTGCGATGATATTGTACCATGACGATTTTTGCATGTCTCCAGGAGCTTTCGATGGACTTGGTACATGCACCAGTTTCAGAATCCTTGAAAGTGATCGAATGGTTAGCCTTCAGATGTTTATAGCTCTCATCTCCCAAACTGTCGTACGAGTCTCAACAATCGAAGATGATAGTAGTTTCTGCGAGGATCCAGTCCTTGATCATAGGTGTCAATGTGACTACATATCTAAAATGTTAACAACTTAACATCAGTGTTATGTCAGTGGAGCCATCTTCTGACATAAGAAGGATATATCCCTCTATAATATCAGAGTGGAACCGGAATGGCTGAATAGAGATAAGAGGAACATCATCATTGTTCGGTGTTGTTGTTTTTTTTTGGGTTTTTTGATTCGAATAAAGAAGCGAGAAAAGAACGTAACAATCAGATTAATATAATACAACTTTTAATTCGTACTAATTTATTTCTCAAAATAAAACAAACCTTTTCTCAACTGAATTCATCACAACACGGTCGGTTCTTCGTTCAAACATTCCAAACACCCATTAGCCTTCAACTCGGTGATCTTTGTAATACTTCCTGCGTCCGAATTTGGATCCATCAATTTCCACTTCAATTCCAGGGCCACCTAACTTTCGCTTATTAAGAATGAAAGCATTGTAAATCACTTCCCGGCAAAAAGAAGTCCAATTCACAGCAACCTTTTGGGAGATCTCTGCTTGCAATTCTAAAGTACAAACAGTTAAACTACGCAAAACAAACGAATCAGATATGCAATTATTGGTCACCAATAATATTCAAACCAACGTTCATAGCCCACAAATTCACGAAGACCAAGATTTACCAAATGGATAAGTGAGATCGAGCGAAGAACGTTCCTTTGCGAAATCGTGCTTGATAAGTGCATCTCTTGTTCTCCCGCTTCTTTTTTTCCAATTTCGCCCCTCAGTTTCAAACCAATTGTGGCAACTCCATTGCATCAAGTCGAAGCGGCCTAGAACATTCAGGGTACATATAGTTTGACTCCTCAGGAATTAGATTTCATTGTTGCAATTGTCGGACGAGAGCTTCCTTCTCTTTACACACATCGAGAGTTGATCGAATATTGAGCGGCATATCTTAAGGGATAATCAAATATGAAAAAACTAAGAAAACTCTTTTTAAGCAAAAGAACAATTTGAATTAGGACGAAATTGTTGAAACGAAACAAAATTTGATTCAACAATTAGGTAAGGGGACCAAACACTTTTGAAACTTTTCAATGGTCTAAAATGATGTCCTGATGAATGGCGGCCCAGTTTTTTTTTAGTTGTTCTATCGTTTTCTGCGCATAATAAAACCCTAGAAGTAAAAATCTTGCAAAAAGAAAGGTGTTTACGTAAAGTATACTTATGCCAAAATATCTAGTATTTGGTATAATATTTAGTGAAGATCTAATATGTTTGATAGAAGATCGAATATTTTTTTCATCTTTACTTATTTTTTTTTATTTATTCATTTAGAGGTTTTTTAGTATGAGTGTTAAAACAACAAGTCTCTCGTGATCGACAAGTATTGGTGAAATAAAGGCAATCATTTGATCATCAAATGTCAAGACGAAAATTGAAATTGGTGAAGATTGACTATGTATCTCGTCGAATAAGAATCAAGCTATCATGTTATGTTCTCTGAATTTTTTTAGGAATATGTATTTAAAGAAAAAAACAGTCAAAAAGATTCTTGATGCAATTAAATCAATAAGCCGATTTGATGCGTGTTTTAATTAATACAACAAATTATGATCATGATCATGATCAAGTTAAAGTTAAAATAGATATTATATATCAGAGATGAAATCAGTTCGATTTGGTTCGTAATCGTTTATACCCGCTATGGTTTTTTTCGTTTTGTGGATTCTTTTTTTTATATTAAAGAAAACAACATCAAAAGAAATATTCAGGTTACAATCAGATGTCGCTTGCTATAAAGATAGTTTTAATATTTTTCTGATTAGAAATTTGCATAGACGAATAACAAACCGCGTCGAGAAAAACAACGCTTGTTTATTGTACACTGTAAATTTTTTTAAAATTCTACTATTTGGAAAATCGATTTTACATAAGCTGAAATATTTTTGAGGTTTTATGGTTCATTCGACAAATTTTCAATACCTCAAAAATGCTTGTTTTTCCAATTTACAGAGATTGAATTTGATTTTCGAAAGAAATCATTTTCTACAAAGTAAAACATCAACATTGATTTTAATAATAATCGAAAATCAATGCTGATTTGAAAAATATCATCTGAACAATGATCGCTATCGAGCCATTGTTAATTCACGAATATAAGCCGGCCGATAATGTTTTTCGTTCATTATATTCTTTAGCAGCTAACTAGTGAGTTGATAACTTGTATTTTTAAAGTTGCTCTGTAAGTCAGTTCATTTAGTATGTATTTAAATTAAAATTATTTATTTGATATTTGATGCATTTTTATGAATTACATGTCTATAATAGTATTTAAATTCAAATTTAAATTATTTATTTATGTTATTTTGATACATTTATGTGAATTAAATGTTTAAACTATTATTCAATTTAAATTCTAATTATTTATTCATATTATTTGGTGTATTTATATGACTTAATTATTTAGAATATTATTTCAATTTCAATTAAAATTATTTGTTTGTTATTATATGAATTTTACGTTCATATATAAAAATAAAATTTGATTTTCGAGTTTTTAAAAAATACTCGAATTGCTGAATAGAATCCGAAATTCTAGGAATGCCTATATGAATTCACTTGCGATTTTCTAATTAGAAGATCAAATTTCTTATTCTGAATGTTTCAAATACCTCATTTTCAAAGAATTTAAAATTCATTGATGAATTCATATGGGCATTCCTAGGATATCTTTCACTAAACTCTATAACTTATTTTCTAGTTTACAGTGTACAGAAAGTCTAGTAAAACTGTGGCAAATCGAATTCTAGTAAGTTTGTCATTTATTACAAATTAAATTTGATTTCCACATAATTATCTAGGTGATTGAAAAGTGATTGTACCCCAGATTGTTTGCAACCATTTGTATTTGCTATAGTTTTGATATGTGATAGAAGAAGTAATCTGAAGAGAACATTCTATCAAGCCGAAATAAATAAAGCAGAAAAAGATACAGTATTTGAGGATTATTATATTGATTCAATTGATGATGAATATAATCAAATTAATGGAAGTAACAGCGAAGAAGATGATAGCTCTTACGATGATGAAGAAATTGGTTGATAAGAAAATTATATCTGTTAGTTATTCCTCTACAACATCATGCCGAAACAATGTCATCACTATTCTTGATCAATTACCATCAGATGCAGAACATGTTTTAGTAACTATTATCTAGTGCAAAAAGTTGCTGAAATATAAATTAGATAAATTCAATATCAAGACCTTTTATTGCCAACTCAGAGAAAATAGAACATGTGAACATTTTTACAAAATTCTTACTAGATAGAACCTTGTCAATGGATACCATTTTAAGAATCTTTTAAGGGTTCTAGACTTTTCGACTAGAACTTTTTTTCTGTGAAACTTTTAGGAAAAAAGATTCTAATTCAAAAATCTAGATGCTTTAAAAGATTCATAAAATGATATCCATTGAATATGTTCTGTATGATGTCTGTTTTTTTTACAGAAAAGGAGTCAATAAAAAATATAATTTTTTTTAGGTCAATTTAAGTTAAGAACTCGAAGAACTAGAGGCTGCTGTTCTGATCCAAAATACAATTGTCAGATGGCTTTCTTTATATAACTTTGTGGAAAGTGTCCAAAAATCCTTAAATCCATTACTTGAAATATTTAATCAAAAAAATTTTGACAAAAAAAGAATTAATAATTTCATTTATGTTCGATAAAATAATTGATTTTTTAAGACCATGGACTCATGTAATGAAACGTACTCAATCATCGCGAGTATCATCAATACATACTGTAGCATCAAGTATATTTGTAATAAATTCCTCATTAGAAATAAGGTCAAATGATTATAAATAAGAAAAAGGTTTATGGTTTCAATTTTTCTTTATGTACTTTGTTTAAATAATTTTTTTTCACAGGCATCGGTTTATTTCTGTCAACGAGCAAGACAAGTCATCCAAAAAATGATTTCTTTCGATACCATACATCTCATTGGAACTTTCTTCAATCCAAAAACACGAAGAATGAAGGACTCGTCAGGAAGACAAAGGGCAGAATGTATTGAATATGTAAAATCAGAAATGTAGCTTTTTGATGTTAATCAGCATGTTAAATCATTTCCAAACCAAAAATCAGTTTCATTATCAACAAATATCTTATTTATATATAGGACAGATTTTTATTTTAACCTAGAAATTGATGACGAAGATTATGCTGATCAACACGGTTCGTCAAAAGTTTCATCACATACGCTCGAAATTGATTTGCATTTTAAGCATGGTGCAGATAAAATGACGTCCCTAACGAATTCTAGTCAAGAAAATGAAGAATATAATCGATTATCATTTTGGAAGATGAAACATGTTTCTTATCCTATTGTGGCGATGGTTGCTACTCGTGTTTTAACTGTACTAGCTACCAGGGCAGCTGTTGAATGCGATTTCAGTTTTACTGGTAACATTATTACATAAAAGTACTCAAAATCATCATCAGATGCAGTGAATGGTATTCTTTTCAATCATTCATACAATAACTTGCCAAGAGTCTTAATATATTTGAATTTTATTCTATTCGGTTCGGTCCGGTTCAAGGAAAACACCAACCGATTCCATCACTGCTAAATATGTACATCATCAAGGTGTTATTGAAGAGCTGAAACCAACCAAAAAAATTGCCTAATTATATCCAACTTTATCAGTGACCAGTTCGGTAAGTCTTAGAGCATGCATTCTTTTTGATCGACTAATAATTCATTGACATGTTGCTGAGTTTGAATCTTTCGTTCAAAGAAATTGGTATAATCTCAATATCACATATATACATTTATTTTATCTTGTTTTTTCTATGAATAGCTGATTTGTGCAATCAATCTTCTTTCTGATCCATTTACTGAAGACAGTATTCAAGCATTAAAATCTAGTTATACAAAATTAGTCAAATATTCGAATCATCACAGAAAAAAAAGTATTACTGAAGATAATACATTTTATTAATCTTTCTATAATAATCTCTTCATTTTCAAAGAGCAATCGTTTTCATATTAGACCATTTAAGTATAAAACGTTAAAAACACTCAGAAAAACTGTGATTAAATCAGGAAAGTAACCTATTGATTATTTTCAAATTATTATATAATTTTTATTGCTTGACTTTATCATTGTTTATTATAGAAAACAATTGATCTTTATTCAATGATGCAATAAACATATCAGGATAAATTATTTTGTGTATTTTTGCATAGTTACTTGTTTTTGTTACAAATTAACTTATTTTTTTATTTCTATTGTTATTCGTCTTTTAACTGTTTTTGTCTAATCGGATTGTAGTTATTTTTTGGGCATTATATATTTTGAAAATGAAATAGACTACCTAAAAAAGAAATAGCTATAAAATGGAAACTAATGTTCCAATGTTTCAAAAACGCTTCAATAGATAAGTTCAACGTGAGACTTAAGAAAAACTGATACAAATTCGTTTTCAATTTTCTAATTAGAAAATCAAATTTCTTATTTCTATTTTCTTGAGTGTTGTATTTTCAAGGAAGTACAAAATTCATAGATGAAGTGGTATAAACATTCCTATAGTCTTTTTTTCTTTCGCTATAAAGTATTTTCAACCTTACAGCGTGGAGGACATTTTTGAACAGCCAGTTTTTAAAGGATAGTTAATTTCTCTCTTCGTTGATTACAGTTTGAAATGCTAAGATAATGAGATAAATGATTATTAAAACTATCAAGAAAAATGCAAATTGTATCAATCAAATTCACAATCGCAATACCTTGTGAGATAAACAGTGAGAAAGAAAAAAAAACATGTGATGATGCAGCACATGTTTTGTCCATGTGCATGCATTGTAAATTATTTTTAAATTCTATTTTTTATAAATTAGACTTTAACAAAGCTACATTATTATGAAACTTTCATTACTGACTCTTCGAATTTAAAATATTAAAAAAATGGTCGATCTCCCAAAATATAGAAAGTCAATTTGGTTGTCGAAAAAATTGATTTTCTAAAAATTGAAAAATCAATACTGGTTGCAAAGAAAATTCAAAAACCAATTTCAATTCGAAGAAAATTATTGAATTAATTACATGTTTATTAAAACTATTTTAGAAGATCAATTAATCTTATTGATCACAAATTTCATACTGTGATCAAATGCAAAGATGTTTCACTTCTAAATTTAATGACTCTTGTACGTTTTACTGCACCACTTAAATGAAATAAATCACAGAGTGGATTTGTATATATATTATAATTTAGTTTTTATATACTATTAATATGAAAACATTAAAAACGCTATAGAAGAAACAAGAGTGTTCAAGATTAATATAATTGCTCTGTCAAAACAATGATAACGTCATTATTCATGTCTGTTAACAATCTCTTTTTGATATCAATAGAAGAATGACTTGACGCACCTCGATCTAAATATATAGCATAGAAAGATTTATAATTGTTGCATTACACTTGCCTGTTCTTCAAATATTTATAACCTTTGTTCTCTCAAAAAGAAGACTCATATACGTATTATGAAAGTGTCAATAATTCTTTTTATCCATTAGCTATTTATTTATCTATTTCATTCTATCTTCAATATTTCTACTTTTGTATGATTGTATTTGGTACATTGATCTTTTATTTTCCTCTTGTTCATTTCGATTTCATTTTTGTCATCTTCGTCGTCGTATTATTGTGTTTGAATTCGATGGGATATCTTTTGTTCATATTTTCTTAGGATTATGAACATTCTATCAATCGATAATTTATTTATTCAATTTTGCATTTTTGATGATCTTGTGAATGTCTGTGGATCGTATACAGTCATGTACAATTTGTTTTATAAATGTTGATGGGACTAATGGACGAAAATGTATCAAAAGCTAATGGTATTAATGGCAAGTCTCGTACATGATGAACAACAAAGTTTAAAAAATGATGCAAAATGCGTTATCTAATGATTATTTATTCAGTTATGATAACTCTATACAATGTTAAATAGAATATTGATGATTTTTTGTTTTCTATTTATTATGTGGAGAAGAAGTATTATTATCTGTGGAAATTAAATACATTATTAATATTGGAAAAGAATGGAGATTAATTGTTAATTGTTACGATACGATAGCATTTAAGGAAAGTTTGTGGTTCTGTGAAATTAGTCCATCAGATGTTTGATTGTTTATCGTTATTAAAGTTGAGTTCTTCATCTACAGAAGATTTATTATCTATTAATACAGATAAAGTGTTTGTTGAAATCATAAGTAAGTGTTTATTCATTTATACAACTTACTGATTATGCCCTATTTTTCCATTTTAATACAATTGTGACATTAAATGAAAAACAATCTGATATGCTTATACAATAATTTCACTCATATCAATCCAATAATTTATCATATTTTAATCATTTCAAATATGGATAGTGAACATGATGATGTTGATTTGCGAGACAAACTGATATTGTATCTATCGAATACAAATCGTTCACAACTTACTGCTGCATCAATTGATCAAATGATCCATCGACCGTTGGATAATTTTTTAATAAGTTCAACAACATCTCAATCGAGAAAAAGAATTTTCACTAAATTTTATGATTACAAACTTTGATAAAGCTTTTGAAAAGGTTGCTGAAATCCGATATAGAAAGAAACAACATGATGCAATTAAAACTTATGATATTAGTTTTTATCAAATAGCATTTGAATTTGATCGAATAATATTTAGCGCCACAAATAAATATTCACCACTTGATAAAATATTCGGTGAAGATGCGGTATGTTTGATAGAAAGTCAAACACTTTTTTCATCTTTATTTAATTTTTTTCTAATTTAGGGTTTGTTTAAAGTACCGGCAAAAATACGACACTCATATGCTAATCAAATGTTAGGACGGAACTTCAAATTTCTAAAGGTGAACTTGATATCTCGTCGGGTAACAATCAAATATTTTCACGAATACTTATTTGAAGAAAAAAATTGACTCTTTGCAAATTATTTTACCATTCTCATCGCGTAAGCTTATCATTATTTATTGTAGGAAATGCTAGTAAGTCTATCTTATGTATTTTTGTACAATTTTTTCTTCATTTTGTTAAAATTAAATAACTTGTATACGTGAAAATAAATTTAAAATATTAAAGAAAATTCAGTGGATTCAAAAAAAAAAATCTCAATAGGCCTTCACTTAACAATGTATGGTGCAAAACAAACACCTTATTTTTAGCAATTGATGATTAGTTATTATAATAGCATTGTTTCTTATTTTGTTGATTATACTTTGAAATGGTTAGATAATGAGATAAATGATCATTCAAACTGTCAAGAATAATGAAAATTGCATCAATCAAACATACAATAGTAATACCTTGTGAGATAGGCAATAAGAAAGACAAAAAATGTAATGATACAGCACTTTTCTCCTTGTGCATGAATATAGATGATATCAAAGGACAAAATAATTATTTTATCTCTAATATGATACAAATACAGGAATGAAATGGATGTCTTTATTTTAGGTTGATTCATTTATTTCTTTTAATGAGTTAATTTATTATTCTTTTAATGTGCTAATGCATTATCTTACACACAGTATATTAGGTTATAATAAATTTGATACAGATCTATGAATAGTTTATGTTGATGGTTCATTGTCTGATGATGTTGTCTATGAAATAGATAACGGAATATCACATGTTATGAATTATGTGGAAAAATAAAAGATTTTAGGTGGTTTTTAAATTTTTATTTGATATTTTAAAATATAGCATGTTTATTCAAATATAATTTACTTTTTTTAGTCATATAATGACGTAGAAGGTCATATATAATCATAGAAGAGAGAGAGAAGAAAAAGAAACAATTGAATAAGGATTATATTTTTATCCTTGCGAGAGTTTATATTGTAAATATTGTGTTAAAGATGTTGATTTAAGCTAATTCATCAATAATATCGTTTTTGCTGATATGAACCTAGACGAAATGATAAAAAACATGGAAGAAGATGTTTAGACTGTAAAATCTTATACTCACATAAAAGTGAATTAGAGATTGCTTTTTTTTAACATGATGCTCATTGATTTATAGATCTATATATGTGTTTATATATCTAGTGTAATAACTAAAATATTTTGACCAATTCATTTCCAATAATGATTTATGCTCTAAATACAAATGTGGATGGCATCCACAATCACCATCAGAAAAGTATTATTAAAGCAGAGACGGTACAAGAGTAAATATTGCTGTGTCATTGTTTATAGTTTGGCTGTCGTCTTCTTATTACACGTTTTCTTTTGATTATCAGCATTGCCGATACTTTCAATATATATAACGATGAAAATAAAGTATTTTAAAGAAGCTCAAATGGATATTTTATTAAAATTAAATCTTGAAATATTCGTACTGCAAAATAGTTCGGAAATGATTATGTGTCATACAATATCTGGATTTAACTACCTGTTTATGAATTATGTTTTAGTTTGCTGGTATTCAAATGTCTAAATGATTTGCATAAATAACTATATGGATATAGCTGGTTCACATTTATGAACAGATTTGTCATTTACTAATTATTTAAGCATAGCTAATAATAATCGGAAAGATAGATCGTGAGTAAAAGTAGGGAAGTTTATGACAAAAAGAAAGCACATATCAGACTACAGTAAAAGACACCATGTGCATTTATTCATCAACACTTTCTTCTCGATTGATCGCTAAAAAGATCATGCCCGATAAATTTTATACAAATTCTACTGTTAGAAAATGGACTCTAAAAAAAAGCTAAATCATTTTTCAAAGTTCCATTATTCATTGATCGAATTTCAAATCGTTAGAAAATATTTAATTCTCGAAACGATTCATTTTGAAAAAAATGGAAAAACAACAGTAGTTTTAGAAAATATTCAAAATTGTATTCCTATACCGAGAAATTTATCGTTAGTAACGTTCTTTAATTTCTTGATGTTGATATATCTATTCAACATGTTTTCAGATCATTCGTATTATTTCCTTATAGAAGACTTAAGAGTGAGTTCCTGAGAAAATCAGTCACTATTGTCCATCGGCGATAGAGGTACCTCTCAGAATTCGCTGATTTTTTTATATGTTATAGAGGATAGTGAGTTTAGTATTTCTTGACATTTTTAGCTAGATCTGATTACTTTTTCCCATACCATCAATCAAAATACTAACGAAATTTTTAATAATTTTTAATAGTGATTTTTTACCAGTTTTTACTCTCTAAAAACAAAAGGAGTTTTGCAGAACCCCCCGAAAAGGTTCTGTAGATTTCTAAAAGCATCCAAATGTGTCCAAAGTCTCAAAAAAAGGGTAAAAAATTCTACAGAACCTTTTAGAGGTTCTGTGGAGTACCCACTAGCCGAACCATCTCTTACGAAACCTTTTTTTAGGTTCTGTACAGCAGAAAAAGGTTTCGTGAGCAAATACGAAACCTTGAGGGTTCAGTACAAAGGCATCAACATTTGGTACGAAACCCTAATGGTTTTGTACGGAACCCTCAAGGTTTCATATTTGCTCACGAAACCTTTTTTTGCTGTACAGAACCTAAAAAAAGGTTTCGTAAGAGATGGTTCTGCTAGTGGGTACTCCGCAGAACCTTCAAAAGGTTTTGTCCAATTTTTTACCCTTTTTTTGAGACTTTCGACACATTTGGATGCTTTTAGAAATCTACAGAACCTTTTCGGGGAGTTCTGCAAAACTCCTTTTGTTTTTAGAGAGTAAAAACTGGTAAAAAATCACTATTAAAAATTATTAAAAATTTCGTTAGTATTTTGATTGGTGGTATGGGAAAAAGTAATCAGATCTAGCTGAAAATGTCAAGAAATACTAAACTCACTATCCCCTAGAACATATCAAAAAATCAGCGAATTCTGAGAGGTACCTCCATCGTGGGTGTCTGAGTCTCTCAGAGACTTACTCTTAAGAAAATCGGGGCAGGATCTACGAAAAGGGTTCTAAAGAGTATATCGTGAAAAATCAGTATTTTGGATTTTTCTCGTGCATAGTTTGAACTATCAAAAATCTCATTATACCATTGGATAGAGCTCATCGAGTTCTAGTTGAAACAGGAATAGGAGCTTTGGAACAAGTTCCTGTGTGAATCGGGGCAGGATTTACTCGAAACTGGGGTCAACTTCACTGACGTCCACTCTTGTTCAAAAACTTTTTGCTACTAAAATTCAATTCTAGAAACTTTTGAAAACATCACTCGATGCACTTTGATGTGCTCTTTCAGATGAGACTACTTTCGATTAGTTCGAGTGCGCTGATTCGACCAACTTGCCGTATATACGTGAGGATGTTTTCTGAAAATGGTATATAATGCCAGGCAAAAATCATCCAGGGATGAGATAATTGTATTACCATAAAAATGTAGCCTATCGTCGATAGTATTTATGGTAAAAAAATCTTGTTTATATCTCTTGTTGTTCTCGAGAAAATGGAGATTTACTGGAAAGTGTTGCACTATAAAGTGCTGCAAAGGGTACGTACTCCCTCACACTTGTATCATCTATATCTCCAAAATGGCTTATCCGTTTGAGCTGAAATTTCCAGTTTGTTTCTACTTCTGTTAGGCCTACTTACTGTAAAAATATCAGCCAAATCAGTGACATCGATTGAGCAATAGTCTGTTGGGATTGGTCGTGGCTTACATGCAATGCCTCCTAGAGGTCCTATCAAGTCCTGAAAGAAAAATTTTTATTTCATGATAATTTGAAGAAGAAGTTATACCCATTGGGATTGTTTTTGAACTTTTCATTCAGTTTTAAGAGAAACTTTTCGTTTGCATATTAATACTTCATCACGTCCCTATCGAAAAGTAAATAGAAGTTTTTGAAAAACCTAGGCATGCTCAGAAAAATCTTTGGATAATGATTTTGTAGCTTTAGAAGTTGTCTACAGAATGTACTATTTAAGTTTCAAAAAAGTTGAATCAATTTAGAGCTTTTTTAAACCAAACTGCGCGAAGTGAAAGTTGATATCCTTTTTTGACTGACGTCCTTAATGCTAATTTTTAGTGATAACTCCTCTGAACAAGGATCTCTAAGGCTGATCTTTTTCAGGGTATCTAAAGTAACCCAACATACATATAACATATAAAAATTAGATCTAGGAAGCTTCATCATCCCAAAATATATGCGTTCCAATTTTGCGACGTCACGTCCCTAATAAGTGGAATTGTCCATGTATAAATGAAAGAAAATCACTTCGAATAGGGCTGTTATTAAGTTAGTATCCTGTTAGCTTTATTAATGAACAGTTTCGACGAGCACTAGGTAAATTTAGAAATGATCAACCGCTTATCTTTCAAAATTTTGATGTGTTTATGAAAAAAATAATGGATTTCCTACTCAAAGAAAAAAATATCAATCAATTATAGCAAAGTAATAGTCGTTTATTTTATTTATTGCTCAACCAGGAGAACTTTTCTGTCTGATCTGATTTGTTATGACCGAAGTACTTCGTAGATTCATCGATCAATGAAATTATATCAACGTTGTGTGCACCAAATGCCCACAATTTACAAAGAAGATTAATACATATTTGGTGTTATATTACCAAATTTATAATTAGATTGTTTTTTTCATATTTCATGTTGTTGTATCTAATAATCTTTTATAAACTTTTATTGATCTGTACTTGATATGTGGCTAATTCTGTTATATCTTGATTATATTTCATGTTTATAACGATTGTATTACACATTCCTTTTATCATTTTATTTTTATTTTTTTGAATTTAAATTTTATTATTTTTTTGTTCTTGTGTGCTTATTATATTGGAGATAGCTGATGAATATATAATTACGTTAACATGTTTTTCTCTTCCTCGGTCTTGTCCATGAGATAGAAAATAACAAAAAAAAACAGATATGCTTGTTGATTTGTATAGTATAATGAAGCATTTCACAGCTGAATAAACCTGTCAGTTACTTATTTGTTGATCAATGATGCTATTTAGTTATTGACAATTAGATGAGAATAGAACGAAAAAGAGAAAAAGTTTGTCCGAATGCATTTACAGTTCAAGGTCTCACAAGCACGACAACACAGTATGGTCAAAATATAAATAGGATTTTTCTTTGTATTGGTGGCCATGTACAGGCCTGCCTACGAAAAAAATACGAATGGGACTCTCTTCTCTATGAGAAAAAAAAAGAGTCTCCCTCTCTCTCTAAAAAAATAACGAATCTGTCTCCTTTTACGTGGGATAAAACCAATTTCTCTCCTTTTACGTGCAAAATAACAAATTTCTCTCTCGGAGAAAATATCAAATCTGACACTCTCTGTATCGATAAAAAATTTTTCTCGTAGATTGTTCTTCGCTTGTCGATCAACGTATATAAAAAGTCTAAGCATACCTGTATATCTATACCATTTTAATACCTTATATTTATCTGCTAGTTCCTCTTCAATCGTCGACAAAGATTACAAAATAATGCAGAAGATCAACAAAACAATGTGTTTATCTATGGTGCTGGTATTATTATTGGTTGTGACAACCAGCATGGGGCAATTAAGGAGCATGCGAGATATGGATGTTGATGACCTTCTCGATGCGCTATTTCAGAAGCGAGGTGATGATGATTGTAGTCTTCGTAAGCCTTGTGCTAATAATGATTGTAATTGTTCTTGTTCTACTTCTACTGATGGTGCTCAGTGTCGCAAGGTTTATACTACTGATCCTTATCCTTATTGTCACTGTGCTGCTTGTACTGCTAGTAAGTGCTCTGTTAATGGTTATTCTCGTTGTTGCCCTGCTGGTTGTTGTGCTACTACTACTTTTTGTTGCGCTATTGGTACTATTGGTTGTTGTGGTACTAATTGTTGCCCTGCTGGTACTCCTTCTTGTTGTGGTGGTAATTGTTGCCCTGCTGGTACTGCTACTTGTTGTGGTGGTACTACTTGTTGTCCTGGTGTTTGTTGTGGTACTGCTTGTTGCCCTGCTGGTACTGGTGGTTGTTGTGGTACTACTTGTTGCCCTACTGGTACTGCTGCTTGTTGTGGTACTACTTGTTGCGCTGCTGGTACTACTGCTTGTTGTGCTGGTAATGTTTGTAGTGCTAGTGTTTGTTAGCCATAAAGCAGGTATGTTTGATCAATATGTTGTTTTAATGATA